CCCCCGCCCGCCGTTTGGGCTGTCGTACCCCCAGGGCTCCCTCCTTCCACACACAACCCCGCAAGGTGGAGGATTAAAAAATAAAATATAAATTTCCACATTAAAAAAAAAAAAAAATGTATAATTTCTGCATTTTCAGAGTCCCAACAACGACCCCCCCGCCGGCGCCCGCCCCTCCTTTCCCTGCCCCCGTCAGCTTAGGGGGGGTCCGAGCCCCCCAAACACCGGGGGCACGTCGCCGTGAGAAGCTCTGAAGACCCCTGGAGCTTAGTGTTTGCCCGAGGGGCAACGGGGACCTGCCGGAGGACGTCACCGTCGTCACCGCGACGGCGGCAGCATCACCGCGACGGGGGCAGCGTCCTCCAGGCCGCTGTCACCCCGCGGTGGTGGTGGTGGTGGGGGGGGGGATCTCCCCATCTTCGGTCCCCAGGTCCGGTCCCAGCGCTTGGGCTTCGCCGCCCTCCCCCCGAGGTCTGCGGGGACGCGGCCGCATCCAGATCCAGCGGCACCGGAACGCCGGCACTACTCCGTCCCGCTCGAGGAGCTCCGGCACAGCTCTTGGAGGTCTGCGGAGGCAGCAGACAAGCCCCGTTAGCAACCAATTAATCTAAAAAAAAAAAAAAATCCCCAAATCAACTATTTAAATCAAAAAAAAAAAAAATCAACTATTTAAATCAATTTATCCGCTCCCTTCCCGCGGCCTCCGCCCCACCGGAGCGGCGTTTCACCGGCGCGCCCCGGCGTTACTCACAGCGCACGACGGTGTCTCTGATCTGCTTGAAGCTCCTCTCCTTCAGCGCCATGTAGATGTAGTAGAGGTTTCGCAGCTCCTTGGGATAATCCTTCCGATCCACGTCCTTCAGCACCGGGATGGTGCGCCCGTTGGCCACCGGCGCTTCGGCCAACGCTTGGTGCATCTGGTACTTGCACCACGGATCCCGCAGGAAGCCGGGGGTGATGAGCATGACCCAGCAGTGGCTGTTTTGCACGGCGTCGCACAGTTCCGTCACCACCGCGCTTCCCGGCGTGGCGTCCCGCAGCTGGAGGAAGCAACGGAAGCTTTCGGGTTGACTTTCCAGGTAGGACACCAGCTCCTCCACCAGCTCCAGGTCCACCTCGCTGTGGCAGATGCAGACGTCGTAGCTCTTGGCCCACCGGGCGCTGCCCGAGGCGTTGATGTCCGACACGGAGACGGGTGAAGGGCGGACGGATCTGGAGGCGCTCGTGCCGGGAGAGGAGCCGGAGCTCTCGGCAGAAGATGAGGAAGGTGAGGATGAAGTAGAGCGGCTGGCGTTGAGGCTGCTCTCCGCCGAGCTGGGCTTGGGCTTGTGCAGGAGCCGCCTAAACCAGCCTGGGGAGCCAGAGGGACCGCGGTGAGGTTTGGGGGGGGCTCAGCACCCCCCCGGTTTCCCAAGGGGCTTGGGCGGCGTCGCCGGCTCAGCAGGACACCTCGGGGTGGGAACAGCCGGGTGGGATCTCACCCCCGCCCCCCAAAAAACCACCCCGGCCCCCAAAACCTCGGCTATTGCCGAACCCCGGGCGCTATCGCCTCGTGGCAAGCGGCCCGCGGGCACCCTCGCGTTCCGGCAGGGAGGGGATGGCGGGCTGTCCCCCCCCGGCACGAACCGAGCCCAGACTCACCGGCCATAGCAGACAGCACGCCGCTCAGCCACCGATCGCCGGCGTGAAACCTCTCCTGCCAGCAGGGAAAAAAAAAAAAAAGGGATTAAAAAAAAAGAAATTAGGAGAGCAGGAACGGCCCCGCGGCAGGTCTCAGCCCCAGGAGCTCAGACGCGCAGCTCTGGGGTGCTCGCCTGCGGCCCCAAAATCACCCCCAGCAGGGTTTTCCGCCTCCACCTCCCCAAAATTTGACAGAAAGGAGAGTTTTGACCTCAAGGAGGGCTGGAAGCAGCGGCTCAAGCAGCCCTCCTGCTTTTTTAGTGCCTGTTCCCGGCTCTTTCCACCGGAGATACGCACCTGCAGCGAGCGAGGCCGAGCGCCAACAGGCAGGAGAGCACCTCATTCCCGGCGGCGGGGAAAGGATCCTGCGGAAGGGAGAGGCAGGGATCAGCGGGGATCAACCGGCTGCTGGCTCAGGTGATGCCCGGATCCGTGCGTCCTCGGTGACGCCAGCCCCGGCATCCCTGCCCATCCCTCACACCACGCCTCAGCATCGCGCTCCCGGCACGGTTTGGGGTGCCGGGACCCTCCCTGCGGATACCCAGGAGCAAACGCGGCTGCTGTTTTCCACTTCTTGCATCACCTCTTCCGAAATAAAACACCTCAAGTCACACCGAAGCCTTTGCCCTACCCCGAAAACGGCGCAGGACAGCAGCAAATGCCGGCAAGATCCCGGCACGCCCGCGGAAACCACACTCCCCAAGCGAAACGCTGCTTAGTAACAGCAAAAACCTCGAGCGCGGCATGAACGACAAGCAGGGACGGTGAACAGGAGAGGGGGGAATTTGGGGAATGCCTACCTGGGATGCAGGAGTCGGGCACTGGAGCAGGGAAAGGGGATGCATCAGCCCCTGGGTTCGGCAAAGAGGAAGATCTTCCGGGATCGCCGAGGTGGGAAAGGAGAGGGAGGATGCAGCACGTTCACTCTGGAGCCTAATGGGATCTGCAGTGAACGGCGAGGCTGATCCATCCTTACAGCTTCCCCATCCGGGAGCGGTTCCCGACGGAGAGGCCCCGGGGTGGAGGGGAGGACGGGGGCACCCACCAGCTTCCGCAGGGACAGAGCGGAGGAGCTGCTCCGCCTGGGCGTGCGGAAGCGCAGGCAGGGGAAGTCGGCAGCGATCCCGCGAAGCCAGCCCTCCCCGGGGCTTCCCTCCCACATCCGCCACCGGCCAGATGCCGTCGCCGGCCAAGCATCACCACGCCCAGCCCTCACCAGCAAGCCCGGACCCGCTTCCCTCCCTGGTTTTATAACCACAGACGGGTCCATCGCTGCCGCTCCCGCTTATTTTATGAGTTAAATTTACCAAACAAGGCGCTTTTCCCCCCAAAAATCCCCTCCTCGTCCCTCCTTTCCCAGGCCGCATCCCCCCGGGACCCCCCGCCATGCAGCACAGCTCCATCCACTGGTTTCGGAAAGGCCTCCGGCTGCACGACAACCCGGCGCTGCTCGCGGCGGCCGCCAACTGCCGCCACCTTCATCCCCTCTTCATCCTCGACCCCTCCAGCGGCCGGGCAGGTGCCAACGCCCAGCGGTTCCTCCTCGATGCCCTGCGGGATTTGGATGGGAGCCTGCGGGAAATGGGCTCCAGGTGAGTCCTGGTGCAGTTCCCAAGGGATTTTGGGGGGGGGGGTCTGGAGGGGCTTTGTGCCCACCCGGCTCCCCGGCAGGCTGTTCGTGGTGCGGGGCTGCCCGGAGGAGGTGCTCCCCCATCTCTTCCACGCCTGGGGGACGACGCGGTTGACCTTCGAGGTGGACAGCGAACCCCTCGCCCGCCGGCGTGACGCTGCCGTGGCCGAGCTGGCAGCCCGGCACGGCGTGGAGGTGATCCGGGAGGTGTCCCACACCCTCTACGACACCGAGAGGTGGGTGCCTGGCACCGTCCCTCGGGTTACGGGGGATCCGGCGCCGGTGCCGAGTGTATCCCTCCCTCTCCCATCCCAGAGTCCTCGCCTTGAACGACGGCAAAGCCCCCCTGACCTACAACCGCCTGCAGAGCCTCTTGGCATCCCTCGGACCGCCAGAGAAGCCGGCCCCGGCACTCACATGGGAGCACCTCCAGGGTGAGCACGGGGTGGACCTGGGTCAGCATCTCCCTCACTGTTCACTCTGGAGCGGAGCGATGGCTGTCACACCCCCACCGTACACGGCGCCCCAGGCTGCCACACCCCGTGCCAGGTCAGCCACGACGCAGACTACGGGGTCCCCACCTTGGAGGAGCTGTGCCAGGACCCCGCCGAGGTGGGTCCTCGCCTCTACCCCGGCGGGGAGACGGCGGCGCTCGCCCGGCTCGACACCCTCATGGAGAGGACGGTCAGTGCTCGGCACCCATCACCCTAATTCCCGGGCTGCTTCACCTTCCCCCATCCCAAAACACAACCCTGGTGTCCCTCCCCCCCCATCCAGGCCTGGGTGTGCGGCTTCAAGAAGCCCGAGACGGAGCCCACCTCGCTGAGCCCCAGCACCACCGTCCTCAGCCCCTACCTCAGATTCGGCTGCCTGTCGGTCCGCACCTTCTGGTGGCGGCTGGACGAGGTCTACCGGGGGGTGAGGCAGCATTTTTGGGGCGGGGGGAACCAGAGGGACCCTGCAGAAGGAGTGGGGAGCTGGAGAAGACAGGGGCCAGCCAGAGGGGCTAATCCTGCCTTCTCTGGCAGCGGCAGCACTCCCAGCCCCCCGTCTCCTTGCACGGGCAGCTCCTCTGGAGGGAGTTTTTCTACACCGCCGGTGCTGGCATCCCCAATTTCGACCGGATGGTCGGCAACCCCGTCTGCCTGCAGGTCGACTGGGACGACAACCCCCAGCACCTCCGTGCCTGGAGGGAGGTATTTCCTTCAGGGATAAGCCCCAAGTCCTCCAACTCCCCCCAAAAATGTCCCCCTGCCACATCTAACCCCAACGCCCCACACCAGGGCCGGACGGGCTACCCCTTCATCGACGCCATCATGACCCAGCTGCGTGCCGAGGGCTGGATCCACCACCTCGCTCGGCACGCCGTCGCCTGCTTCCTCACCCGCGGGGACCTCTGGGTCTCCTGGGAAGAAGGGCTGAAGGTCAGGAGATCTCTCCCAACACCCACTGGCGCCCACCAGGCTCTTGGGGACACCGTCCCCACGCCACCGTGGTGTCCCACAGGTCTTTGAGGAGCTCCTGCTAGACGCCGACTGGTCCCTCAACGCCGGCAACTGGCTGTGGCTGTCGGGCAGCGCCTTCTTCCACCGATATTTCCACGTCTACTCTCCCGTCGCCTTCGGCAAGAAGACGGACCGGGACGGGGCATACATTCGGTAGGCGTGAAACCCAAAGCCACGCGAGATGGTTAGTGGCCTGCCTGGTGGCTTTGACACCCCGCCGTAGAAAATACCTCCCCGTCCTCAAGGATTTCCCCGCCGAGTACATCTACGAGCCCTGGAAGGCGCCGCGGGCCGTGCAGGAGCGGGCGGGCTGCCTGGTGGGCACCCACTACCCCCAGCCCATCGTGGAGCACAGGGCAGCGAGCGAGAGAAACCTGGGGCGCATGAAGGCGGCCCGCGCCCGGAAAGGTAACAAATCCCCCAAAAGGCACCGAGCTCCCCCTGCGGCCCTGCCGCCACCCCGGCTGCCTTCCTCTCCTCCAGGCACCAAGCGAGAGCCACCGGCCAGCCCCTCCGTAGCCAAATCACGAAGTAAAAAGCCCAAGATCGAGCAGCGCTGAACCCCACGGGGGCTACCAGCCGAGGTCAAGCACCGCTCGTCC